AGACTTTAGTAACACTTCTACGGTGTTAATGTTTTATTGCTCTATATGAACTCCATCCATTTGGTGTCCTGTGTTAGAGAAATCAGAGGGCTGAGCGCCAGTAAAACAAACACTGACTTAACTTCAGGGGAAGGTAGCTGACAGCGAAGAATAAATGATTAAGAAAGCAGGACGATTCACTGCTGTAAAGTGTGTTTTACAGACTTGATAAAGACAGTGAGACAGCCAGTGTACACAGTCAGCTCGTTCGTCTTCACCCTGAAGTTACATCAGCTGTCAGCAAACACTGGAAACCACGGAGCTGCGCCAATTACACTTTGCTGTTTGACTTCATTTGCATTTTCAGTGTGACAGGACGATAGTTCTTCCGAGGTGGAGGTGTTTACTCATTTGTCGCAGAGTTGAGTGTTTCTGTTTGAGCTCCGAGTTGTGTTACACTGTGCTTCATGCCAATCTCCTGCCACTTACAGACACTAATGGAGTCCTGGAGTCTCATCTGGGACATAATTAGTCAGAAACAGCTGGAGAACTGGGATTCAGTAGAAATGGAAACAGAGGAAGAAGTTCATTCTGTCCAACTGACATAAAGACCTTGACCACTGCATTAAGGAAACTGATTACTGTAACTCTTGAGTACCTGAGTACTGACCAGTGCTCCACAAGGATTATGTTGGTGACTGGAACGACTGTACATAACAGCAGCACCCAGTTAAACATCTCAGAGTCACAGTTTGTGACTTCAGTTAACACACACAAACCTCAAAACATTAACAGGAGCTGACATTTAGTTTGTTGCCTCCAGTTGTTTAGGACCACGAGATGTGTCAGAAAAGTTTCAGGACTGGTGTCACAAAAGATATATTTCAAATCCAAACTACAGGTTTTCCCTTCCAAGTAATCCCCCTGGAGTCTAACCACTCTCCCAGCCTTCTCTGCCACACCGCCATGCACTCCTGGAAGGATTCATCCAGGATCCTCTGCAGCGCCATCGTCACAGCCGTCTTGATGTCGTCCATGTCTTCAAAACAGGTCCCCTTGGTGACCCCCTTGATGTTCTCCTCAGCAGGAACTGTTGGATGCTCAGGGCGTTGTGAGCAGGCATGTTGTCATGGTGAAGCAGCCACGACTTGTCCTGCCACAACTCTCGCCTCTTCTCACACACTGAATGAAGCAAACGCAGCAGGATCTCTTTGTAGACGTGCTGGTTGGTCGTCTAAAGGGGAAAACTGGTAGTTTGTAGTTTGGGTTTGAAATACAGTCGTGACTCGATAATCCAACGCTTAATCCGAAAACCTTGTTATCCGACAGGTTTTTAAGAAAAACAAACAAATCCCATAAAAAATAACCTTAACATACCGACAGCCTTGGATTCTGACTCCAACATGACATTTTATGTCACAAATAAGGATAACAGCGTATTATCTGACTTAACAATCCGACAGATTGGCTACCTTCACACTGCAGGACTTAATGCTACATTCAGATTTTTTTGTGAAATCCAATTTTTTTGGCGAGTTCGTTCACATTTCCAATTAAATGCGACTTGTATGTGATCTGCTGTGTGAACTTCATATGAACCAAAAGTGTCCCGCATGCACAGAAGAGGACACGACGACGTCATACGCCACGAGCGTGCTCAGTGTTTATGGAAGTAAACATGGATGGTAACGGTGGAGCGTATCTGCCACTCTCCTGCTGCTGCCGCCACCGATAGTGGAAACAGAACTGCGACCGCTAACAAAACCGGCATCAGCAGCCAAGTACTGCCTGTACGTTCTGGTCACTTCCACCCCGTCAGAGCGCTTCCCCTCTCTCCATTTTTCACTCCAACATTAGCTTCACCATTCATCCAAGAAATGACACAGAGAGCAAAAGCTTTGTCTCCTGTT